CGCGCGCGCGCGCGCGGGAGCGAGCGCGTGAGGCGGGGGGGGGGCAATTGATAAGCGAATTATAGGCCCCAGATAAGCAGATTAGCTCGAATCTCGCTCGAGCGGCGGCATTCTCTCGGGATCGACTCGCATCAATTATACTCGGCGCGTATGCGACGCGTCCGACTTCCGATCGAATGGTCCTCCTCAAGTTCGATTTTTCAGCGGCGGGAACGAATCGATGAGAGACGTTGCGCTTGTCGAATCTTCTCCAATTTCTTCCGTAAGCCTTTGTTTTAGCGCGATCTTGCTCGAATCTCGGGAGACTCCGTTCAATATTCTTTTCGCGTCGCAGTCAAACGCGAGAGCTCGATATGTCTTGCGCGTTTTCACAGTAGAATCGCGCAAGTAGAGCGCAAGTGTAACGGAGAGTCGTGAGAGTTTTACGAATTGATAAAAAATTCTTGTTAGACACTTCCGCCTTGTCTGGCCGTCTTAATTCGCGAGGCGAGTGAATGCTTCACCGAGGATTTTATGCGAAGCGGACGAGCGATGTTGTGTCAGAGCTCGGCGCCATCGCACGTTCACTCTTACTTCCAAAGGCGAAACGATGCGTTCTTCGTAAATTTCGCGTGATTTTCTCGATGTACCGTCTCGATCACAGAGTCGTTCGTATCGATTTCATCATCTAGAGTTTCTACACTATGCAAATATTACGGATGTATTCTAATATGTCGATGCTACTGACGCCAGCGTCAACCTCGCCCCGTTCCTTCGGCGTTCATTCGGCGGCGATGACAATCAGGCAATTAACACGCCGCGACGGAAGCTTTCGGGCAGACGGCGGATTGATCCTCTCGCTGAAACAGGACATGGGAGAGTAATTAGGGGGGAGCCGATCAAGACCCCCCCAGCCGGCGGCGGGTGCTCGGAGTAGGTAAAACTGTCGGCAAACTTCGGCGGTGTTTTCGCCGTCGAGCTGTCAAGCAAACATTCGGAAAGTTTCGCGCGGTCGACAATATTCCGCCACGTCGCGCGCCACGGGTTTCGAAAGCGACACTGAGAGGGCTATTTAAAAAGCGACGACGAAGCCCACGTTTTCTCAAGGTCGTCGCGCTATTAAGAGACAGAAATAGGGACTGTGACGATCGCACTTCGCGCTCTCCCGTTTTCATTTCTCCTTTTCTCACCGAGCGTCGAATAACGATTGTTATACGGAAAAGCGATCGCGTCGATTCGCCGACGGGACAACCGCCTTCCGCTTCCGCGCGTGTAAATTTGTTCTCGCACGGCTGAGGGGTTGTAAATTACACCAGGCTGAAAACAATTTTCCGCTCGTTGAACGGGCAATGCGTGTTAATCGGAGATTAATGGGTGCGCGCTGCGAGTTAAACAGTTTGCTGATGAATCAGCGCTACGACCCTATCAGGCGTATTAATTTGTTACCGGTAGAGTATCGCGAAATAATAATTACAAGTTCATCGGAAGCGATAATCGTGTAAAACGTTCGTTTTAAATGCGAATTATAGAATGATTGATTTGACGCGAATTAGTAAATTTCTAATTAATCGTTGAATTTTATTCTTATGAGGTGAGAATGAAGGATTATTTTTGAGGATTATGAGAAAGGATCCTTTAATCCTCTCGAAGATGATCGATACATTGTAATTTTTCATCCAATTTAAACAAACTTCACTGTAATTTAAACATCTTTGATCCTTGCAATAATCAAGTAAAATAATAATTACGATCGAAATTCCACTCGATAATGTAAACTTTGTTTATTATTTAACAATAACCTAACAGAAGAGCTAATACTTAATACTTTTTGAAACAATTTTATTTGAAAAAGAATCTCCAAAAACATTTTTTTTCCGTTTCATTCAAAACAGTCTCTTTTTTTTTTTTGTACATCGAGTTTTAACGTCGAAACATTTTTTTTACAAAATGCGTCACGAGAGGACTAGAGAATCGTTCATAAACGTACACGGAAAAAAGGATAAAAGGATGCACCGACACACCGTGAAAAGTGATAACGTACGCTTGCACACGTGCGAGATCGATTTCGGCCACCTGTTGAAGAGTCCGCGGCTGGACGAGCCGCGGCAATTTCTTCCGTCGCGCAGCGATGGATGGACGATTGTGGCGATTCGTCAAGTTTCGCCGTTGTGCGAAATAAAGGATCTTAGAGACTTAGGGGCGTCGCGACGCCGCGCGAGTCGTCGCACCGCGCGGACGCGCGATTACGCGTGATATTAGGCCGGTGTAACTACTCCGCGTCCTCGGAAGGACGCGCGAAACGATTAAACGTACACAAAAGGATAAAACGACGGTAGACACGACGAATAAACTTTAGTCACACATGAGACGCGCACAAGCGAAATTCTCTGTTTCGTTTAAGCGATTACTTTTCTCTTACAATTTAATTCACAACAAATATATATATATATATTTACCGCTTTTTATAACTTTTATATTAAAATTTCAAACTCTATTTACTCTGAATTTTTTTTTACAACGACATATAGATCATCTATTATGCATGCATAAATGTGCGTATACGCGGGCACATTCGACACTCATTCAATCCGATGAAAGCATTCGACGAATGCGCCTCGTTCTTTTTTTTTATCCGCTTTTACTTTTATCATTAATTATTTGATTTTTGTTTCTTTTCTTCTTCTGCGGTACGCGCGCGGAATATCGCGGCGTGAGGAACACGTGTCTGCCACCCTCGTTCTCTTTCATATCATCGCGCAACTACACGACGACTCTCGCGACTTCGAAGGGAGACTGCGATCGCGACACGGCGATTCGTCGAACGCGCGATGCTTCTCATCTTGGAGTCGTGGGGACGTGCGACGATCACGTCGGAGCGTCGCAACGCCGGTGGCTCGCGCGCTGCTTTCCTATCAGCGACTGAGACGCGGAAAATCGGAAGCACAACGGCTTCGACAGGGAGAGCGAGAGAGAGGACGCGGTTTTTCCGCGCAGGCGTGCGAGCTGTTTGTACGGGTGTTTGTACATGCAGGAGATCGTGATGTATCTACCTTTACGCAGAAATGTTTACGATATCTGTTAGTACGAAGGTATATTGACGCTAAGCTATAAATATTGAATGGCACAGATTTGCAAATTCAAGAGCTTCACACCGATATATTTCAATCTTTTTTCTCCGTCATGTGGAGTAGAAAAATAATATCAAAGAATTAAACTTTTAAAAATAATATTTTTACACATTTTTTCCTGTTTTTAGAAAAATTTCACAGATTTTTGGAAAGATTTTTAGAAAAAACGTTACACACGCACTCTCTTTCTTTCTCTTTTTCAAGAATTGCGTATCGATAAATTATTTATGTCTTCTTTATTTTATTTCAGATTTATCATAATAGATTTTCTAGTTTTAATAACAAGATCATTCTCTATCTTATGTGTGACAATCCGACAGTAGAAACGACTTTTATAATCCGGATTTTATAGTGTCCGGATCTTTCTGAGCTTTATGAACAGCTTTGACGCCTGCCGTTATATTTACTCATTTCACGTTACTGTGTGATACATCTGGCTGATAGCTGAGTTACTGCCGCATTTCACAAACTTGCTCTACGAAACGATTTCATGGTCGGAAAGTCATTCGTGTATTGCAAGAATTATTCTTGTGTGTGCATATCTTCCTTTCTGACGTCATCCGAGATACCTGAAGACCGTCTGCTCAGTTTTCTTATCAAGCTAAGGATACTTTAAAATAAAGCATTACACAAACACAACTTCGCCAAAGTTATTCAATAGTATTGTGCAATCTAATCCGTCAAAAGTATGAAGTAATGCAAGAGTTTCAGTAAACTTGCACAATGCTGTTTTCGTAGCGATATAATTTCCCAAAATTTTTGGATATTCAACTTTGCACGAACTTGACAAGAAAATGCACGCGCAGAATCACTTTGATTTTGACTAATTAAACTTCTCAGGGCTTATAATAATAAGAAATATTTTTCTGATCTAGTCGTATAAAAGACAATCTAAAGATTTACGGAATATGAAAGTGGATAGCTTAATAAACCCAACACAGCAATAGGTTTTCCAGCTCCATTAAATCAGCTGGGAAATATAAAGCAACAAAAATGATCATGTATTAAAAGAATTTTTATAGAGAACCATTTCCGCTTTCGCTCGCTATTACACGCAAACTATCATAAGAGACACGCATAATGAATAAACCTACAATGTATAAATTTTTTTTATTGTACAACTAAAAAGACAGCAAAAACTCAACGTTAAATATCAATTTCGTTCAATCCACTAATCAATTGCAAACACTCTTCAAGATGACACAAAAACTTCAATGCATCTCTTAAGTGTCCTTTTGCCGACTACTCGTCCCGATTTGCGCATTAATTTTAATAAACCCACGAATATCAATTTCGGTCCTGAATAAAATCGCTATACATTTCGCAGTCTACCACGCTCCACTTCATACGCTGGCATCAAGAGCTATGTCAAGGCAGCGGCCAAAAATACTTGGAATTCCCGCAAGTACCGGCAGTGTTCTCCAGAATCTAATAAACTCGAAATGAATATATTCTTCGCGTTTCTAAGCCGAGCTTCGCGGGAGTTCGGTTTTGAGGGAGGCGTGCCGCGCACACGCGGACATCCGTTTGCATCTTATTGCTGAAGAATTCTTTGACGATATGTTCGCCCCGTTGTGATGCGCGGATTCCTGGCGCGAGGTATGCGAAAAATTTCACGTTTGCCCCGCAGAATTCTGCGCGGGAGCTCGCGTCGAAGGCGAAAAAACGCCCGGTCCGGAATGTCGCGAATAAAAGGCGGCGAAATTATACGCGAGGCGAGCTTCCGCGCTTCAACACTTCTGCCATCGCATCGGTAATCTGGAATTCGCGGCTCTTACGTTGCGCTAACCGTGTGCTGGAGCAGTGCCGAGCGAGCCGCAGACCTTCGCACTAGACTTGTAAATCGTTCGTCAGAGAGCAGCAGGCGACAGAGAGTGATGAACTCCACGCTTTATCAATGAGCCGCTCGGAGACGTAAATCGATAAGGAAAGATAAAATATATTTTTGAACGCGAAATGCAAGTCGTATCTTACTCCTGCTAAGAGAGATAATTGCGTATTATTAGCATCAATAAACAAATAATGTCAACGGACGAAAATATCAGGATCATGCGAAGAGCGTAACTAGCGATATTTGAGATAATTGCGGATTGTAATGCATAACAAGCTTATTTTTATTATAATTTTTCCCTCAGCGTTTATAATCACAAATATGATAATAACATGACAATTACCGTCCACGTATTTCTTCATTAACATTTCACAGGAAAGGTTATTCAAAAGCTCAAACGTATGAAATCCTTTGACATTTCCAGAATGCACAATATGCATGCGAAAATTACGTTAGAAATTCTATTTCATCGCGCAATATGGAAAGAAATCAAATTAAGCGTTTGAGATTGAACGACAAGCGAGGAATGTGGGGTATTTTCATAAAAGCGCAATTATAAAATACAGTAATTTATTAATAATTAGTCATTTATCATCAGCGTACTCATCATGATAAATTAAAACTTGCAGATATTTCATCTTCCTCGCTATATACTACACATTTTGTCACATTTTGTCTCGCCGCTTAGTAATATACAGGTCTCGGTTTTACCGTCTATTTCTTTACTATTTATATATTATTTATATATATTTTTTTTAATTATTTATTTTTATAACAGCGTGTGGCAATTTGACAAACCCGAACTCTAGCTGCGCATACACACGTGGTCACTCGTTCATTCGTTCACTCTTTTCTTGTCTCTCTCTCTCTCTCTTTCTCTCTCTCTCTCTTTCTTTGTTCTTTCTATATAATGTCATATTTATATATATATGCGCCCGTACGTATGTACGCGCGCCTCTCTTTGTCATAATATCATATCGCGGCTCTACACCGCAACATTTTTTTTTTTCCTTTTTACTTTTTACAATCGTGCACGGCATATACCGGGTGGTGCGAGGAAAAAGAGACTGCAGTCGATTTCCATTCAGAGTCGCGGGGAGAGCGGCTAGACTATCTCGACGACCAACGTGTTCTTTCCTTCTTCCTTCGTTCCTTTCTTTAATCGATAAGAGAAGAGAAAACAATCCAATGGACTCGACGATATACGTTCGATTTCGCGAGACACTTAGCTAAGTCGCAATTGTATATTAAACTACTTAGAGAACATCGCGGAAAGAAAGCAATAGAGACGATACATGATCGATCGTAAATTAACGTTAACGCTTTCTCGTCTACTGATCCGTAAGTGCACTATCAATAGTGGTGTGCACCGCTATATACGTCGTGATATATATCTTTAGTTGATTGGTCGTAGGAAGGGCGAGGAGCGGATCTCGGAACGCGCGAAAGACCCTCTTCGAACGCGACGTCTTTGATTTACGGCATAATTTTTTTTTCCCCTTTTCGGACACATACTATTTACATTGTACAATATAGTATAATTGCGCGTGCACGCGGGTCACCGCCGACACGTGCGTTCCGACATCCGCGCGCGACATTCCCGTCCGCTTGGAAATCCTAAAAACGACACGACGTTAACGACACGCAATTATCGTTTTTTTTTTACAGGAATACAAGGAAATAATCGCCTCGGAATCCGAGAAGGATCACAGATTCATCTGCTGCGCGCGCGAAAGAGAGACTATTCCACTTTACAATGTGAGTGATGCTTCGTCAATAAATAAGAATGATATCGTCTGGGATTCAGGTATGTTAGTCTCTTCTAGCACATTAATTTTTTTTTTTTTTCTCTATCAAAAATTCGATACGAAGGCACGAAACGTCTGGGAGAAATGTAATAATCAATGACTGTCGATTTTTCGTGCGATTCTTTCGTATCACCCGGTGCGCTTCGGTATTGCAGGCGTCGCGTAGGCTTAACGATTATTCATTACAACTTAATTAATATAACTTAAGATCAACAGAAGCAGTGTGAAGAATTATATTTACTAACCTGCGCACATAACGTTTGACGTTATACGTATCACCACTCGTTAAAATAAATAACAATCGTTTTCATACATACATACTATAATCGTAATTAACACTCTGATTCGTCGGATATTTAACGTCAAACGCGACTCTGGTCGGCGTAGCAATTTTATTGCAGAATTAAACTCGGGATGTCAGATATTTGACGTTAAATTTACACGACGAAAATAATAGCGGCTTTGTATGCAAGCACATGTTTACACACGCGTATACGCAACGCGTGCGTATATATATATATATATATATTATATATATGCGAAATAATCCAAGCATTCTGTGATCGCCAGTTTAGGATTAACTATATATACTTTCAACGTTAGTGACTGAAAAAAAAACAGAGTGTACAGCGCCGAATACAGCCGTCGTGTATAGTCGGAATAGTTTGTCAAAGGGATAAGTGACAATTATCTTTAAGATACACTGCTCTCAAAGATTTTCTACTAGATACTAAAGATACTCCGAAAAACATCCTGCTCTTCATCTAGTGGCTGAAATATCCTTACTCAAATTATCTTCCTTACGTGACACGCGAGGACAAAGATCGGGAAGTTACGCTCCAATCTATTCTACGATGTTTACACAGCATTCAAAAAAAGGATGAGAAGCAAGAGAGGAACATAATGTCGTTCTACCACAGGAGTGGAGATTTAAGTGATGCGATTTAAAAGGTACAACGTAAAATATAATCGTGTATGTGTGAAACGTGACTAACGTGATCCTGCTAAAATTATGCGACGGACGTTCATAGTAAAGTACAAAAAAAGCAAGTGTCACGAGAGTGTTGTGTTCATTTGTACTATATAGACATTAGAGACACACAGCAGCGGAAGTCCCTGCATTCGTAAGAAGTATTATTACCGTTATATTGTAAAAAAAACTCCTGCCGCGCGGAGCTTACGTGACCGGATCTGGCAGAATCCACCGTGTAGGCAAAGCACGTCGAAGCACTCCTGGCGAACTCCGCCGGAAGCAAACAGTTGAAAACTCGGGATCACTCTGCTTCCTCGGTAGCGCGAATTTAGAATTCTCAGAACCCATAATCACAATTAGGGGTGGCAGGTTAGAGTCATTAATGGTACGACGTATCGATGATATGAAGTGAAATCGCGCGGTGCAATGCAAAGAAACTCGTGTGTCGCGAGTGAGAACAGAAAGTGCGCTGCGGATGACTTCTCCAGATGATTCTAAACTATACGAATGTGCTAATGTCAGAACGTAAGAGCTTATGCATTATAACGACTAAATGGACAGCGTCTCTCTGATCAGCTTCTTCATAGTGTTGCCCATAGTCGTGGTCGACGGACTGGAGGTCGTGAAAGACAATTTGAAGAGATACGGCTGTATGTCTGGATACGAGGTGTCGAAGATCAGATCTAGCTCCGCCTGACTCGGCACTTTCGGGATGTAATCGTGCCGATTCATGACCTCGGTGATATACAGGATCTTGTCGGTCAGCAGGTCGCCCACTTTCTCCCGACATATCTGCCGTTCATTTTCGGTGGCCAATTTGATGAGCTCGAGGCGTACAGTCCACACTTCCCACGGTATACACTCGGGCTGAAAGGGCCAGCGGCTCTTTTTCCTCTGGAAGAATTCTAAGGATATCTGGCCGGAGCCCGGACTGTCGGTCGAGCGCAAGGCCTCCGAGAAGCCCGATATCTCGCGCTTCAGCGTCTGGTCGAGGTGCACCGACGAGCAGCAGACGTATGTGAAGTCAATGAAGTCACAGTCCACATCCTGATATCCCACGGTGCCCACCGAATAGCTGCCCTCTTGTTTGTACTTGAATTTGCCGAGGCTTCGATGGAAGAGCACACTGTGGAATATACTCGCCACTGCCTCGTCCACCTGGCGCCCCTCCATGCTCAATTCAAACAGCTGAGTCCTGGCGTTCATGGTGATATCTGCGAATACATCACAGGTTCTAATAACACACGTTTAATGAATAAGCGGAGCAGTATACAAACTAGGCGCAGAAGCGATAGAAATATTCAACACTGTAAAGGTAAAGTGTATTAAATCAAAATGCTCCGTTACTATGTCGTGTGTATATTTTATGATACACATGAAAGTGACTTTAGCAAATATAGTGCAAAAATAATAACAATCGCGAACAGATTGAGGGATTAAACGATAAATCATCAACGGATAAAGCAATACAATATTTGTATGTGGCGAAAAGGTAGATGGTGGGGTGCATACAATGGATCACTGTGTCACTCAATGCCACGAGGAAACACGATAAAGCACGAATGAGTAATCTTCAAAATAATCGCAAAAATACTCGACAATCTTAATACAGCGAACTGCAACTTTCGTCCACGGGGTCCAGCTGATCATGCGATTCATGCAAAGCGGAGTGATGCAAGCTTAACCTCCAACTCGCCAAAATACTAACAAATGAGCAAGGAAGCGTGTCGACACATGGATATGACAATTCGACGAGCGGGAGATGCGATCTTGCGATCAATCGTGCGACGCGACACTCGAGAAACTCGCGCTTTTTACGTAACGCAACGAGTGAGAGAGAGAGTCGAGAGAGGATCCCGAAAAAAAGGAAAGAGATCGTGCACTCTTGAGAAGGATAACGCACTTGTCGCCGATGGCGCGAACTAAGGCTTCGCCGCTTTCCTCCCCTCGGTACCGATTCCTCTTCGCGATCGCTCCGTCTCGCCGTCGTCGCCTCGTGTCGTGCGATGGCGAACGCAATTAGGTTAGTTTCTCGCGCTCGATTCGTGCCCACTGGCGTCGTGACTTCTGCCGTCGCGGGCCCCGCTACCCTCTTCCATCGAGTGCGTCTTCGCGTGTCGCGATTTTTCCTCGACGCACCACCACCACCACTACTACAGTCGCCGCCGCCGTCGCCGCCGCCGTCGCCGCCGCCTCCGCTGCCACCACCGCCGTTGTCGTCGTCGTCGTCGTCGTCGTCGTCGTCGTCGTCGTCGTCGTCGTTGTCGTTGTTGTTGTTGTCGTCGTCGTCGTCGTCGTCGTCGTCGTCGTGGTTGTCGGTCGTCGTTTTGTGTCACGTCTTGGTCACGTCTTGGTCACGTCGTTCTCGCGCGGTTACCCCGTTACTCCGAGCCGCTTATTCGTCGAGCATCTCCCATCGTCCCGACCAGTCCCGACGACGGGGAGCCAGGCGTCGCGTCGTGCACGCGCTCGTCCTCACTCTCGGCAGCAGTCAGTGCACCGCGGTGCACTGCTCCACACGGGTTTGTGGATAAACAACAGCTGTGCTCGTGGCACACGCCATCTTGACGCCGCGCTGCGATTCGTGCTTCGATACCTGGCCCCGCGAGGGCTCCACGTTCTCCGTCCCGGAATGTATTGCTTCTTGTATGCACGCGCAGCGACGACGTAAGGAAACTAGGAGGGAACGAGAAGTCCTCACGAGAAATCGTACCGTTAAACGGATTGCGCGTGCAGCGTTTTTGTCAGCGACGGTCTTTCTGTCACCCCGATTATCCTAGCGCTACATCATGAAATCACGCGTCGTACCAACGTATGTGACGAGACAGCGAGGATCGATTGACGTCCCTCGTCAGGTCCTGCACTCCTACTGGGGTTTTCCACTCCGCTCTTCGCCGCTGCGCCGATCTGTTTCACGGTGCCCCGCGCATCGAATGACTATTGTGCGTCGCGACACTGATGCGCGACTCCTCGCGGAGAAATCGGCGGCCACACGTGCGCACTGGCGGATGACGCCGGCAAAAGGCGCCAAGCGACTTGCCAGTCGCAGGTTGCACTCTCGTCTCAACCAGCACTCGAAATTAGTTGCACTTTCGAGTCGCTTTTCGCACGTCATGCCAACTCTTTCTACAACTATCGACGTGATATCATTATGCCCGACACCTACACACTGAAGATTGAGATTGAAGATTGCAGATTGAAATTTGGCCAATCAAGACAAAGAATTTTTAGCTTCTTTCGTTTCGATTGATTAAATTTCAATCTTCAATCTTCAATCTTCAATGCATAATCTGATACGAGCTTTAAAGATCTGCTCTTTTTTTTTTAAAAGCTGTCTAGACTCTAGAATGTTCGCGACACAACATTATTTTTTCTTTCCTATTCCCTTTTTACTATTTTGCTTGTTCAATTATTTTTTTATATATAAAAACTCTCTTTTTTTATATTTAAAATATTAATTTTTATGTATAAAAACGTTTTCTCTTTTTTAACATTAAAAATAATACTTTGAAATTGTTAGCTTGATTTTTCTAATAATACATGTATTTGCAAATTTCATATTTTAATTTATTCCGATCTGTAATCTTTTGCCACCACTTGTGTCGTTATAAAAAGCAGCGGTTTTGTATTTATATAACTTTAACATATGGTGACCGAAAGTAGTTTAATGGAAATTTGTAAGGGTAAAGTTATATTCTGGAAACGCAAGAGAACATTATCTCTCGTTTATAAATTTTTTTAAGCTTATGTATATTGACGTAGCACGGAGACGTTAGGCAATACGTTTAGTGCCGGTCGATTTGTCGCCGGAATGGGATATATTATTTTAGTATTGGGTTTACACAAAAGGCCCTTCGCGCTGTTTATTTAACTTAAACTTCTTTATCCTTCTTACCTTACCGCGCACTTCCTTTCCGCTATTCCGGAAATGCCATTCGGTGCTTTTCTAAAGAGACACCGATCAATCACATTCTCCGACGCATATTAGACACATTTATGCATGCATTTATATTAAATATTAAAAAATTTAAATTATATCAATACATAAGAAATTTTAATAAAAAATATTTTTAATTACTCTATTTGAATAATAAGTTATCAATGCGCTCGATGCTTTATAAATGAGATATTTTCCATTGAGTTATATTAATAATGCTTTAAAATTATATCGCATTATATAACACATTAACATAGACAGCATGCGGTGGAAAACATGGTTTATGTGAAAAATAAGCCGAAATTTTGGAATAAATTTTTTACGTACTAATATAAGCTTTGTTTTGTAAATTTCGTTGAAACTATTTTCCTCAAAAGCAAAGTTTTGTACAAAAAAATTTATTCTGTAATTTTTACTTCTTTTTTAACAAAAAATCACTTTATATTTATATTTACGTTTTTCGCTGTACTGTACATTTAAAAAAATACGACAATCTTTGGAAACCTTAGAAATATTTTATTGGACTAGTTGACATGCTTTGGTATCAATTACGATTACACTGTCACATAATATTGCAATAATTGAATGCATGACACAAGGAAATAGTCTCTCCGCAAATATATAATATTCCTTAAAAATGTTAGCTTAATAAATTGGAAATATGTTAGATTATTAAATTTTCTTCTTGTAGAACGAAACCGAACGCCTCTGCTCATTTTTACTCGTATGAATTTACGTAATTTATGTAGATTTCGCTACAAACATGCACGTAGATTACGTTGGCATAAAAAAGACGCGCAAATTAAAACACAAACATTATTAACACCATTTCCTTGTCACACAAATGGATATAATCACATATACATTAAGATTAATCAATAAATATAAGGCACTCTGGAATAAATAAAACGTGAGAACGGCATCGTAGCTCTAACTGATAGTCGTTGTAGTTAAGCTCGGATTGTCAGAAATTTTTTGTTAGAAATAAGATAGCTGCTGCTCCTGATTATGGCGCGCTGACGCGCCCTGATGTCCCGAATGATGAAAGTTTTGGATATCGTGAGTCGCTTGCTGTCCTCGATACTGATTACAGCTCGAAGATGTCGAGGAGGATACGTTGCAACTGTTATTCACAAGCGTGGCAGCGTTGTTGTTTTGTATAGCGAACGGCCACGACTGTAATTAAAATTATTCTTGTTATTACGCGCGATTGAATGAAACCTGAATCTTCGGAATTAATTCGCGAGCGTATTATAGTTTTCTTAAATATCATTGAAATCCGATGATTAGTAAATTTCTGGATATTAGATAACGTGTATTGAAAATTTGATTCAAAATTCTTATTAATAGTCTGCGATGTTGTCATAAAATCTTGATTATTTAAGTCGCGCGTTTCAATGACGCGCTAAAAATTAGAAATCTATTTATGCACATCAAGCTTTGAAGCGAAATTAACGTCGATTCGAATTCGAATCTACGTAGAAAAATTGTTAAGGATGAAATGTTCTTTGATCTTTACGAGAGGAAATCAAGAACCATTTCACGGCGGAAAACGGCACGCTTTTTCAAACAACGGAACTAACTTAGAATTAATGGTGGCAAAGGGTGGGCAGAAGGTTTTGGAGTGATTCGATCCACCTGGACAGACATAAACAGAGTGGATGACTGCGAAGACGACGCTCGCGATTCCGAGTGGATCCACCTGGACTCAATGTTATTTTACGGAATCGTTATCAAGTCGAAAGTCGAGTTGTAAAAATGAAAAATAGCTCGGAAATAACTTAGCTCTTAAATCTTCCATCAAATTTCATAAATTTACTAAATTTTGCAATATCGCAGAATATCTTGCAAATATATATATTAAAAAATAACATTGCAGTTAAGATTTTTTGCAAGAAGAGACGTAAAAGACACTTGACATGAAAACTCTATTTATCTTTCCCCAACGATATCCGATCAATAATCATTGATCAAACATTAATCAACATTGTATATATATTTCTGTTCGATCCGCTTTATTGTTGGATTGTTCAAGATTAAAATATACATACTATCGTTTCTTAAAATACTCCTTAAAGTAAACTGAAATTCAAGCAAATCTTTTTAAAAATTGAATCGGCTTTGTTCTAATTTGCGTAAAAATAGACATAAACACTTACCAAGGCCAACGATAAGGACTTTGTGCTTTCGGGAGGAGCTTCGCCGTCTTCCCGGAGCACCGCTCTTAAATGAGCGATGTAAGTTGCGGCCAGTCTTAATGTATCGAGCTTCGACAATTTTGTATCAACCGGAACCCACGGCAACGTAGTCTTTAATCTGCAAAACGCCTTGCTAAGGACGCGCATTCTTGCTCTTTCTCTGGCATTAGCGGCATTTCGCGGCGCGCGACTGTCCATGTCGTCCTTTATGTACTTCTCCTCGGAAGGATATTCTTCCAGCGATGATGTCGAGGCGCGCCGTTTTCGAGGCATCCTGTCACAATTAATAATAATTATTATCAATTAATTCGAATGAGAACGACGCAATAGAATTTCCGCAAATAGCGACATGATTTATCATAATATTCAACCAAAATGTAGATTTCCCCAATAAATTAGCCGTTTCCATCTTATCTGACAGTTATCTCTCCGAAAAATGAAAATTATTAAGTGAGATTTATGCGATATATTTTTTCACGCAACAAAAAATGTAACAAATATTGAAGTTCTCATTTATGCGGAAAATTTAGCGTTCAGGATCGAGCAAAGCGATCATATCACACAACATGGCTGTTTGTTTTACAACACACGATTAATTATTCATTAGAATTCACTAAAAAAAAGACGCACTGAATAAAAAGCTTACTTTTTTTCACTTTTACACAATTAAAAATTCTGTATTAACTTCTAAAGTAAAAGATTTGTCATCTTTTTTACATTGTTTTGCTCACTTTATGCTGCAGACTCCGAATCTGCTCGAAACTCCGCGTGAATGGAACAATGCAAAGTTATAAATGAAATACAAACTTATAAGACTGACGTTGCATGTGAAGATATCGCGATTAGCATTTCAATCATTTTAGTGCTAGATATGATTGATAAATACGCTCTGACCTTTATTTATCTAATGCGAAGATCTCGTAATGAGAAGCTAGAATTGCAGTTCCGCATTTAGTATTTTATGAAGCTAAAAAAATTAACAGATAATTATTTACAATATCCCTTTAAAAATTAACTTCCAATAAAGCGCTGCTATTTAAAAAAAATAACAATCTTAATTAGTATTTAAATCTGCACATTGCATATTTTAATTGTAATTCAAAAATTATTAAGCATAAAGCTTCACTCTTTTATTTTCACGCACATCCACAACAAACACTTGCAACGAGACACAGAAAGTTACAATTAGTAAGGAAGCTCTAAATGACAATTTCAAAAGACAAATTATTGTGATTTGACATTCGATTTAGTTAATCACGATTAATTCTCAGACGCTCAAGTCCTAAATTGGAGAGACTCGAGAGTCGAGAAGTGAAGTCATACGATTTTATTATTCGAAGAGCGACGTAAAAGTTATTTTTGTTGTTAGGTGATTACGCGCTTGAATCATGAATGTCTCTCGCGTCCGGATAGCTTAATTAATAATGCAGCTTGCTCGGTACCTGCGATGTGATCGATGAATTTCTTTTGCGCGATTAAGAGCAAATATCTACCGGTGGAGCGGAAACGTCGCGATGCAACACGTCTCCGGCGTGAAACTAATTGTTAGCCAATGTTCCCGAAGTAAAAGCCGAAGAGAGGACCAAAGAGCAGCGAAGTGCGAATGGAAAGAAAGAGAGGGAGAGAGATAGAGCGAAGACACTTGGTTGGAGGGGTGCGAGATTTGGGACGTCCCGAAAACCAGGCGGAGCTTTCGAACGTCTCAGCTTTAATTTCATTCGTCTTGTCTCGTTTTCTAAGATACTGCTCTCCAATGGCGCAAACGTCGCGGCATACGTGGCCACCTGGCGCGTCCTTCCTGGTTTTCCTTCCTTTGCCTGCAGCAGAAATACACGGGGAGAGATCAAGGCCCGCATCCGTATCCTACATTAAGCGCTAACCATGGCAGTCTGATTTTGGATTTTATCGCGAGACCGCGTACAATGTTATCTCGAGCTCGAATGAATCACGCAGTTGCATTTAGCGTTAACTTGAGATATGCGTACTAATTTCATTTCATACGCAAGAGCTCGCATTGTTGTATAATTGTCGGCGTATATCAGATTGCAAAATACTCGGTTGTTTTCGCTAAGCCACGACGGAATTTATTTTGCACCGTGAGAGAAAGAAATTGGTATAAAAAATATACTTTACTTCCATCGAGACGAAAGAAGGAAAAATAAGACGGAAGAAGTGAGAAACAGTATTACGGAAACTATATCTCAATACGAGTAAAAGTGATCTGACTTAGCTTCGACGAAGAACTCGGCAAGCTAAGCTCCCTCTGCGTCGCCCATTTTCTCGGAATGCGTCTCAAAAAAACAAATAAAAAACTATTTACTGCTGTCAACCTGATTCTACTCTACAGAGCGGAGATATCGATTTCGACGCGGGAGGGAAAAACACACGCTTCCGTTTCAACATCGAGGATATAATGATACCAAGGGAAATTCGCACGCGAAGTATTCAGTCGATACACTACGATCTCGTTTTTAACGAGTAACATGACTGGCACGATGGATATCGAGAAAGTACGACGGATATCGTGAAAAAGTGATCGTTTCAGTTGCTTTCAGATTATTACGGATTCGAGGAGAAGTAAATACGCGCAAAATCCTTTCGATCCACGCAGAATACAGGCTCAACTGATGCCGGAAGAAAATGTACGTGACGACGCCAGCGAATCACTCTCGGATAATCGGATGGCTGGAAAGAAATACAATGAAAAGAAAAGCACGCGCGCACCGACCGTTCCAATCACTTGCTTTCCAATGTCACAGATTCTAAGAAAAGTAACGTGCGAAGGAAACGAGAATGATAATCAAATTGACAACAGTTTTATGAATTGTTTCTTAGAACCACCTCCCCCCTTTTCTCTTTCGCAGTACGTAAGACACATGTGCTGGTCCCTCTCGTTCTTTAGACTATTGCTGCGAAAGGAAGGGTCGCTTGATCTATTAATCCAACGAAAATCCCCGTCGACAGTCATCCGTTTCGTTGAAATTAGGATTCGAAATGGATCCTGTAATATGAGGGTTGCGGTGACCCTATTGATCCTACTTAGTATCCTGAAGAAGGCGCTAAGTTATTGCTCGACAAATTCGTGAAAGATGTCCGGCAATTCGACACTCTCCAACCTTTCTCTCGACCATGTCTCGCGGTGTCATTTAATGTAGAAGCTTGTAGTAAACTGTAAACGATAACAGCATACTTTATGCCTAGGTCAAGGAAAGAATAATGTTTTGAACACGTCCTTTAACGAAGTTGATATTGATATTTTCTCAGAAAAGTTGTATCATTCTTTTTTTATTGTTTTTTATAACTTTGTTAAATTTTATCAACATAAATCGATAGTTGACAGTGTTGAATCGATAGTTACCGTTGATTTAAAGCACTGATGCAAAAATAAACTTTAAAATATAACACTTTACATATAAATTAAATAAGGTGTTATGTTAAATATTTTATTTTCTTTTATTATTGCATTTTACGAAAATGCGAAAGATCAGAAATTAAATCTATCACTTATAATACTAGTTAAACGCATTATACAGATGACACAAATCGTAACTATATATTTTATTATTACATTCTAATTTATGTACACACGAACCAGAAATCTAACTAAAGTGTACACTAAAATAATGAATTTTTTGATAATCAAATTTTTATTATTATTGTATTATTATTATGTATTATTATAAAGTTCTAAGATATAAAATTAAACAAGATTACGTATAGACGAATAGATTACTGCATACACGAATAGATACTAAGAAATGCGTCTAAAAATTTATCCCATCGATTAAAAATTACGCATAATACAAACATTAGATGTAAATAAATATATTAATCACATGTTTGGATAAAAATCTGCGATAAAACTATATCTTAGTTATGATTAACAAACTCGTGACTGAATTTGCATAAGATGTGACGTATCGCGCCAACTTTGCATCGCAGTTCTTCAAGTCACTGTAAGATAGCGCTAGTTGTGTCGTAGCGTATCGCCGTGATGCGTGCCAAGCGCATTTGCGAGTCGAGCAGAGTCGAATCGAGTCGAACGTGTCGCAAGAGATTGTGGCCGCTTTTTCCCAGGCGTTTCACGGATTTTTCGGCCAGTCGGTGTTTCCTTGTCTGCGCAAGTAAGATCGATTTAGGTTCTTGCCGACGACGATACATGCACGCGGTGACGCCATCAGATCAGCCGTCGCATCTCGATGTAACGACATTTCCGGACGGCGAATCGACGTCCACTCGCGGAATTTTTGGCACCGACGACTTGCCATTTAAAAGAACGTGAGCCATGAAATTGCATTAAATATCCTATTCGATTTTGCTAGATATTGACAAATTTCGGTTAATTAGAGAGGTTATGTTTCTTGAAGATAACTGTGTGCAGGAAAACGCGATGGTTTAATTGAATTTTTAATTATTACTTTTTTTCAAAACTTCTTTGTTTTGGATATATTGTTGTAATATGTTTATTGTTTGAATATTTTATAGCAAAGAAATACTATCGTTAATGCTAACAATTTTTTATTTCTAGATAATTGTTTTTTACATTTTCTTGTTTAAAATTTAATTATTATTTTCATAGTTATGATAGAGAGATCTTGAATTATGAAAACAAAAAAAATGAAGAAACTATGGAAGATTTTATTTGTTTTTTATAATAGAATTATATTTGATTGGATAATGTAGGCTTATAATAAGTTTCTTTATTGTATATTAATATTTAATAATGTGTAATTATTTAAATAATGTATTTTTGTCAATTATGAAAAGAAGTATATTTGATTATATTTATAGTTTTCAAGAAATGTAATTTAGAAAATTTTAATGTTACAAACTAGAAACATACGTTAAATTACAATAAATATATAGCATATTTTTGGAATGCTTATTTACTTCCTACATTAATTAGAATATAGTTATACATAATGTATAACTTTATTATCTAGGCTTTCTACATATCAATTTACAGCTAAATATGTCAGAAGAACATCAGTTGCCTTCTGATTCTGACGAAGACGATGAAGATTATGTTCCTGATGGCGCTGAGAGTGATCCAGTATCAGAAGTAGAATCCGAAGGTGATGTAGAAAGTGGTCCAGAAGACGAAAATGATGAAAATAAAAGGGAAACTGGGCGTAAAAAGGGTGCTAAGAGGTCTAAAGGTCGAAGGAAAATCACAAAGTGTAGAAGAACCTTAGAAAAGTCAAAAGTATCGGAAGAAAGTAAGGAGGAAGAAGAATCTAAAGAGACGAAAGAACTGACGGAAGAAGAAGAGAAAAAGAGAGCAGATTCTCTTTGGGCTGATTTCATGAAGGATACAGGTGAAGCTCATACAAGATATTAATACGCAGAGCACATAATGTCATACATGTTACAGTTAGATAATAATAATCTAGATACAAATGCAATTTAATAATGCACTTTATTTTCTAGCTGTTGTGTCAAAACCAAAGCCACAAAATCCGATCAACAGATCGATTGACAGATCGATTGACAGATCGAATGACAGATCGAATGACAGATCACCACCTGTGCAGAAGCCAAAAGTTCAGGAGAAGGTTAAGATAACTAAGGTTTTCGAATTTGCTGGTGAAGAAGTGAAAGTTGAGAAGGAAGTAGCGATTGATTCTGCAGAAGCTAGATTATCGCTTTCCACGGCTGAAAATTCTACAAAGAATTCTACATCCGAATCCGCAACTCCTACGAGCAAGGGACGAGGAAGAGGTGGTGTCAAACGCGTCGGTTTAGGCGGAATCTCTTCCGTTCTCGGGCAGATCGGAAAAAAGGCCAAAATCAGTACCTTAGAAAAATCTAAATTAGATTGGGATAATTTCAAGAAGCAGGAGAATATAGAGGAAGAGATCAGTACTCATAACAAGGGTAAAGATGGATATTTGGAACGGCAAGATTTCCTGCAGAGAGCAGATTTACGACAATTTGAGATCGAGAAACAATTACGGAATTCGAGCAGACGTAGCACGCGGTGAATTCGCATTTCCTCCTCTATATGTGTCTCTTCTTCCGAAGTCAGATCAGATGATAATATCGCGATAGAAGATATTTACTTGCCGACTTGCCAAGCTCGAGCGCTTGCTTGTATATTTAGCCTAATTCATTCGAGTTCCGCATTTTGAATAATATGGATGCGTTTCACTTGATATAGAGCTGACTGTCCTAATGATTGGCGGTCCCTTTGGGCCGATCATTCCAGTGTTTTGAGACTACTTTCTCACGTATACGTAATATAATAGCTTAATTTACTCTCAGCGAGCCTTTGTCTCGGCCTGATTACTACACAAAACTTCGCATCGAAGCTGATTGTTCGAAGCTTTTGACGCTTCGCGAAAAGATTGTATCCATAGAACATGTCTGTAGAATATTTTTTTATTTTGTTTCAATGGAATGCAATATGTGTGTGGATATACACGATATTTCCGATAACTGTTAGTTGAAAGTCACGAGTGAAGTACGAAGGAATACGTGTTTTAGGAAATAACAACGTAAAATAACATTGACCTCATTCATAATCACTGCCTTTGGCAATTCACGCGGAGTACAGTAACCATATTTATAAATGAACCTCGTAATAAATAACGTAGGAGTATCATAATATGTGATCACATTCAAACAGCAATTGGGAATTTTGTATGACGTGCGAGTCATTGTCATTATCTTGTTTTTTTTATAGTCACATACAAGGTAATATATTTATTACTTTAATGTAATTTGCTAAACAGCAATATCGACATAACACATTTGTGTGTAAACATACTCAGTGTCCAATTAATAATCGTCAGGTTTCCTCGATGTATCGGATTTGAGATGTGTTTTAGCGTATCTCTACCCAGGACTACATTACATTGTGAACTCTTTAATAATATCGAATATTAATAAATTGTCAATAAGAAATGGTGTTTGTCCGTGATATTTCCAACAGCGAACGTGTTAGCTTATCGAATCATCACGGAACAGAAAATGACGTGAAAGAAATATAATACTTAATATACATTCCTTGCTTTCACGATTCCTTTTTTAATATCCAATAAACAAAATGTTAACAATATTGGCAGATTGTCGGCAAGTATTGTTAACATTTCAATCCTACTTTTTCTTCAAATTCTTATCACACATCAGCGAGTAATTTCAAACAGTGACTGTGCAGAGCACATTTGAAAAGATAATAGATTGATATCATTTCTATAAACAAAATCTTTATGTTTATGCATTTATATACAATTCTTCTAATATGATCTATATTTATATTCTGCATTTGATTTCCAATGTAGCTGTATAATAATTGTTTCAGAATTTTTACATAGAACTAGGGAAGTTTGGATTTAATTAATTTTATTTAATACTGCGTATAAAAATGTAGATATTTATGCACTTTAAAGAAATTATTTCAAGAGTACATAATTCTCAGATTTATATATTAAATTACTACTGACTTGTCACCGGTAAAAAGCCTAATTGCGTGTGCGCTGAATCTGTCAATTCTTCTGCGAACAGCGCGTAACCATCCAATAATCACGTTGCGTTCTTTTCTGCAAATTCCAATGATCAAATGAAAGCGGTTAATTAAGCGCTGTACAAGAAACGTTAATTTAAACATGCTAACTGTGGTTTTGCTGGCGGTGATTTGCGCGGCTGTTTAAGTGCGGGTTTCCTCTCACTGGTCGATGGATCTGCAATGTGTCCATCCACTTGGGTGTCACTTTTTGATACGCCTCTAGGCGTCAATCCATTCATCCCTTTTTGTCCGCTCTGGAAAAAGTCGATGCTTTGCAGCAGCACACGCTATCTTAATACTTTTTTTTTTATTCTATTCGTATCTTTTATATTTGGTCGCATTATTTATATTCAATATATTAATATTTTTTTACTCTAGGTTTAATGAGAAAATAATTCACTTTTAATTTTGACTTCAAAGAATTTACATTTGTCGAAAAAATGGCGATAAAATTTTAAATTGAAAATAAAACAGTTAAACTATTGTTCATATAGAATTAATCAGTATAATGCAAGTTTTTAACATTATTAACTTTAGTGCAGCAACATCTGTGACGACTCGAAAGAATCTCTCGAGAGGACATGCATTTGCAAGTTCTTAGCTCATCCAAACTGCGACCTCGAATGCAGATACAAAGCGTCGTGAAACAGTCATGCCTCGGTCGATTACTTTCTCTTTTCGAAGCCTTTTTACGCCGACGACGCGATCTTTTCCTCTTTCTGCACCTCTCCTCGGACGCGCTCCGTGAATTCGCGTGTTCGTGTGAATTTCCTTCCCGAGCATGGGAATGCCCTGTCAAAAATCGCGTGAGACATTCGCGAGCAAGGTGAATCCGCTAAAATGCTCCAACGTTAAGGTTGGAGAACTTTTTTTCACTCATATTTTTACCACCTTTACCGCATGTACATATTCGCTTTGCATAATTCCAGGAATTGCCGGAAGTTTGGTCAAACTTGTTCGGTTCCACGGATTTCGCATTTGTCACGCTACACACGCATCAGAGAAATAAGGTAAGAGCGTTACACTTTGCTTAATATAGGTGTGTTTCACTTTTTTAACTTACATGCAGATGAATAATATAATTGCCGAGCTTAGAATAATGTTTTTCGTATGCGGATATATTTTAATTAATCCTTTGTACTAATTACTTTAATATGTTCCAAGAGATCTTTTTTTTTATAATGTCGTGATGTCATCATTTTATTTTAGAAAGGAATCTGGTTGTGAGTCAGTAAGTTGTGAAAAAAAACTTCTCAAGAACGCGGGAAAAGTAAGGTCGAACATGGTTTTGCGCAAAGATGAATTCCCTAATGGGATTTGCAACATCCTATTCTATCGCGAGACACGTTTCGCTTGGCGATTTCGTTTGATAAACTGACCGTCTCAAAAATCATACGTTTTCCCTGTTTTGGGGACAAAAACACGAGCTCACCGACGAGAATTCGTAAGATTATTACTTTTTTAGGGACGATAAGCGTTCATGAGTTAATGATAATGCCATATAATTTTGCATTAAATTATGCGCACTTTTGTGCTCAAATCGTATTTCACAATACAGAAAAATTTAAGAACGATTGTCTCGACGTTTTTTGCAGTTATCGCTATTTATATCCGAAATCCGAGAGCCATTGTCTCGGGTTTTTTTTTTTTTTTTTGTCAAAAC